AATCCATGGAATAAGGAAATAATTTGCTTCCATGGTGGGAACTATGCATCGGCCTGAATCGATTCCGTGACCCAGTGCCAATGCGACTCACAAACCGGTTTAAATGCAAGTGGGAATGAGCCCTATGTAACTGTGAGCCTGTTTATAGAGTTATTTCATTTCAGATGGTTTTTCAGTCTTTTTGGAATTACTCCCAGAGCGGCATCAGTGACAGTAATCAATCAATCAATCAATCAATTAGATCCCACATCCCCTCTCCCCGCTTTCCGAAAAGCCTCTGGGACCCAAGGCAGTTTACAAGATAAGCCAGATATAGGCTGACCTTATTTCCTTAAGACAAAAATGGGACATTAGGATGGCAAAAATGGGATAGGGTTATGTAATATGTCATGTAATAATAACACCAAAGAGCCAATGTGGTGTAGTGGTTTGAACATTGGACTATGACTCTGGAGACCAGGGTTCGATTCCCTGCTCAGCCATGGAAACCCATTGAGTGACATTAAGCAGGTCACACGCTCTCAGCCCCAGAAAAACCCATGGTACGGTTGCCGTAATTCAGAAACCACACGCAACAGCAACAATAACAAGGCACCAATTAATCCAGTGTGTTTATTGATCTGGAAACAATTTGGCAAAACTCTGTATCTGAATCTCTCCACCCCGAAACATGATGGATCAAGTGTCCTTGGAGGAGGGTGACCAGATGTCCTCCTTTTCCTGGACACATCCTACACTGCAACCTTCTTTCCAGGAGGGATTCCAAAATGTCCTCTGTTTTGAGCATGATTAAGTCGGACAGACTTATAGCTTTTGCTTTTGCAATCTCCAACATTTTTTCTCATTTTGCAGTGGCTTGTCCTCCTTTGTGGTTAGGATATCTGGTCTCTCTGGATTTGGAGGAAAGGTTTTCTAATTTCCCTGAATTCTCAGCATGGTGTTGGTTGGTGTGAGGAGCGTTGACACAAATGCAGATGGAAAGAGCAGTGGCTGATTTCACAACAGCCCCAGTCACTTTCTGGCAGGGGCTGTTTCCCTTTCCCTTGGCTTCCAGGGAATTCATCCCACTGGAATTGGCAGAAAACCCTTCTGCGTAAACAAGAGAATCTCTGCCACTATCTCATTTGTTGTTGCTGCTGCTGATGTGTGCCTTCGAGTCATTTCCAACTTCTGACAACCCTATCATGGGGTTTTCTTGGCAAGATGCTATTCAGAGGAGGTTTGCCATTGCCTTCCGCTGAGGTTGAGAGAGTGCAACTTGCCCAAGGTCACCTGCTGGGTTTCCATGGATGATGGGGATTCGAACCCAGGTCTCCAGAGTCACAGTCCAATGTTTAAACCAGGGGTAGGCAACCTTTTTTTCCCTTTAAGGGCTGAGGAACTTCAGCTCCCAGAAGCCTCAGCCATGTTGGCCAATAGTCCCATGCTGGCCAATAGCTTCTGGGATTCTGGGAGCTGAAGTCCCTCGGCCCTTAAAGGGGAAAGGTTGCCTACCCCTGGTTTAAACCATTACACCATGCTGGCTCTTCACAATACCGTTATACCAGTTCAACCCTATGTCAGCTCTCTGTCCTGTGGAATCCTGGGCTTTGTAGTTTGGGGAGAGACGCTTAGCATTCTCTCAGTGAGAATTCTAATGCTAGAAGTCCATGTTGTTGTGGTGGTTGTTGTTTTGTGTCTTCAAGTCATTTCTGATTTATGCAACCTTAAGGCTATAATGGGGTTTTCTTGGGCAGAGATTGCCATTGCCATCCTCTGAGGCTGAGAGCATGTGACTCACCCAAGGTCACCCAGTGGGTTTCATGGCTGAGCAGGAATCGAACCCTGGTCTCCAGGGTCATAGTCCAACACTCAAGCCACTATACCTTTCAATATTTCACAGATGAAAAATGGGACATGTGTGGCCAAGAAGCATCAGAGTGTGGTCAAGGTGGCAAAAGGGTGAGATTCTCCCCCTCCTCTCCCACCATCTTGAATTAATGGAGCGAAAACTACTTTTGTCCTTTGAGCTCAGTTTGCAGCAACTGAAGAAAGCTGAGGACAAAAGGGGGGGAATAGAAAGAGGAGAGAGAAGCTGGGACATTTTAAAAGCAGTGGGATCACAGAGGATCAGGACAGTTGGAGGACATGTAATTCAGGAGAGTGGAACTACAGGTCCCAGGATTCCATAGTGTAGAAACATGCCATTCGAAGTGGTATCACACGTCTGTAACTCTGTAATGCAGCTATGTTCCAGGAAGTGCAAAGCAGATGTGACTTCTGGCCCTTTCTGTGTCATGAATGCAGACCCAGGAGATGAAAACTAGACCCCACCGTGGCTGCAGTTGCCCACCCCTGTTCTGGCGCACCTGAGGCCAGCAGTCTTTGGGGTGGAGGGCAGAACTAGGGAGGCCAATGGAATTGGAAGGTACCACGAGTGCCACTTGTTGTTGTGTGCCTCCATGTCATTTTTGACTTACGGTGACCGTATTTTCTTTTTTTTTGGCATGTTTCTTCAGCAGGGATCCTCTGAGGCTGAGAGAATGTGACTTGCCCAAGGTCACCCAGTGGGGTTTATATGCTCAAGCAGGGATTCGAACCCTTGTCTCCAGAGTTGTAGTCCATTGCTCAAACTACTACACCACATTGGCTCCAAGGGACATTTAGTTGTTGCCATGTACCTTCAGGTCTATTCTGAGTTGTGGCATGTTTCCTTTAAAAGAGGTTCTGCCATTGTCTCCCTCTGAGGCTGAGAGAGTGTGACTTGCCCCAAAGTCATCCAGTGGGTTTCCATGGGTAAGCAGGGATTCGAACCCTGGTCTCTCATAGTCCTTGTCCATCACTCAAGCCACTATACCATGCTGGCTCTTCTCAGTGATATCAACTTGCTGTTATTCTTGTGTGCCTTCAAGTCCACTCTGACTTGTGGCATTCCTTTTGTGTGGTTTTCTTTGAGAAGAGTTGCCATTGCCTTCCTCTGAGGCTGAGAGAGTGTGACATAGCAAGGTTGCCCAGTTGGTTTCCATGGCTGAGCAGGGATTTGAACCCTAGTCTCCTGGAGTTTTGGTCCAACAGTCAAACCACTTGCTGGTTCTCAAGGTTTCTTCAGAGGAGATTTGTCACTGCCTTCCTCTTAGGCTGAGAATTTGTGACTTGCCCAAGATCAGCCAGTAGGTTTCCATGGCTGAGCAAATCCTGATCTCCCAGAGCCCCAGTCCAACTCAAACCACTAGCCTTGCTGGCTCTCAAGCTTTCTTCAGAGGACTTTTGCCACTGCCTTATTCTTAAGCTGAGAGAGTGTGACTTGCCCAAAGTTACCTAGTGGGTTTCCATGGCTAAGTGGCAATTCAAACCTGAGTCTCCTTGGAGTCCTAGTCCAACACTCAAACAAGTGTGCCATGCTGGCTTTCACAGTATTTCAAATCTTTGCTTTTTTATTCTTTATTCTATTTTAGTTGCTTTTTTCACACCCAGGGCCTGCAGACGCCAAAGGAAACAGCCTCCCTCTAAATCCAGCTGGGTCTTGTGATGTATCCTAGGATGCTCCTGCAGATGTGAGTCGAGTGCCTCTAAATCAAAACAGCCCCCAAACATAAATCACACCTTATTTTTTCTTTTCTTTGCACGCTCAAGTCACACATGTGCTGATCATTGGCTGACCTTCCTTAACCAGGCTGGGCATTTGCTGAGCTGCTAGGGTCATTTCAGCTATTTCAGTCACGCCTGGGAGGGAGAGAAAGACATTTCAAGTCCTTGCCCAAGAAGTAAACAGACGGACTCGTGTTTTCAACTCCTGTTTCGGACATCTTGTTCTCTAGTTCCTCCATAGCCAAAATCTAATTCATTCAGTGAAAACTGCAATAAAGTTCCCCAAAGCAAAGAGAATTGCAGAAGAGTTGAGACTCTACAGTGGAGATGGAGCAGGGGGATTTTAAATTATAAAATGGAAAGGCTGGAATCTGTGGGTCTCCTTCACACACCTACATTCCCTTACACATGCAGGTGTATTGTAACCCAGGATCCAGCCCTCACTCACCCCTCTGTGGCCCTTGATATCAAATTAATATCAAACAAGGAGTTTGCCACCAAGTGGCCAAAAGGGGGCTTCCCAGCACAGGAAACCAGCCATATCATACCTATGGGACATCCGTATGGCTCAGCATGGGAGAATTCAAAGGCACTTGGCCGTGATGGGATTTCTCAGGATCGGAATCAGCATAATCCCTTCACTAAGGGAGTGACGGTGGGGAGCTGGACTTGGAGATTGTTTGCAAGGGTGTTTCCTTCTGGAAATGAATCTTTGTCTGAGGACATTCACGCCAATTGTCCGGATGTTCTTGCATATTGCACCCCCTTCTTCTCCCCTGGGAAAGTTGCTTAATCCTTTCAACTCCTGAAACACTGCCCCCAGGACACAATTCTTTCTGTATACACAAGTTCCCAGACACTAGCAAACCAG